ACAAACATAAAGTAAAAATTCTTAAGATGGTGTGTGAGACTCTGCAAGGCTTTAATGGCCGAATGTTGCCATAAAAAGAGAAGCATAATTACTAAGTTAAGTTTTGCCAGAGATGAGGAATGCTTAGGTGATGAGTGGCTTGACCCTTTAAGATTAGGATACAAATTATCATATTTTCTATAATCACTTAATGACTTCCATTGCATGAATCACCTACGACTTTTAGCTTTATTACTTATGTTTAAACACAAGGTAAGCTTTGAACAAAGTAATTCTTATTCACTTTGATTGCATCAAGGAGAAGCCTTTAAGTCCTACATCTTTTTACTTTTGTTGTAGATGTTCTCACTAGACATTTACAAAAGGTTCTGACGCAGTTACCGCCGTATGTGTTTCTGATTATATTTCATATATTTCACCACCTTTATTTCCACCATCACTTGATTCTAATGTTAATATCTCCATATATTCAATTATAGATATACTCAAGAGAAATCCATTACTTATTTGTCTATTTTGGTTTCGGATATTAGAAATCAAAGAAGTTGGATGTATAACCGATTATCTCAAGGACGAAAGACATTAATAGATGAATTCATTAATGAGGTGAACATTTTCATTCAGCAAGCAAAATAACTACCCAGCTTCATATCAGAAGGAAAGTTTCGATGTCCATGTTCTAAACATAAAAATCTAGTGCACCTAACACCAGATGATGTAACTGTTGATCTATATCGCAGAGGATTCATGCCACGGTATTGGTATTGAACTTCTCATGGTGAGTACGAGCCATAATTTGATTATCAATGCGGTCCTTCTACAAGTATTAATATAGCGGAGGCTAAAAATATCCAACCAAATCTTTAGGAATTAGTTCATGATGCAACTGGAATACAATTTGAATAAAATACAAAAGAGTTACCGAATAAGGAGGCACATAATTTTTATGATTTGTTGCATGCTGCCCAGCAACCAATCTGGAAAGGGTGCATCACTCACTCAGAGTTATCTATTGCTGTGAATATGTTAAGCATCAAGGTAGAATATAACGTTGCTCATGAATATTTTAATCAATTCATTGGGCTGCTTAAGGAAACCAATCCTACATATAATTTAATTCTGCAGATCTATATCGGATAAAAAAGTTTGTTTTCAAATTTAGTTTGACATACACAAAGATAGATTGTCGTGTCAATAGATGCATGTTATACTTTAAAGAAGATATCTCAGATATTGCATGCCGTCATTGCAATGCACCAAGGTTTAAATCAAAATTTGGTAGTAGAAGGAAGCAGAAGAATGTGCATGTCAGTAGGATATTCTACTTATCAATAATTCCAAGACTACAATGGCTATATGCATCCATGAGATCTGCTGCATATATAAGATGGCATAATGATCACATTCCACAAGTAGGTGTTATCACACATCCATCAGAACCAGAGGCTTGAAGACACTTTGATCGTTCACATCCTATATTTGTAGCAGAACCAAGAAATATCAGATTAGATTTATGCACATATGGTTTTACTCCATTCAATCAGTCTGCTACACTGTATTCATGTTGGCCCGTGATACTCACTCCTTACAATCTTCCTCCATAGTTGTGTATGACTACTCCTTATATGTTTATGACACTTATCATTCCAGGGCCACATAATCCAAAAGTGAATATTGATGTATTCTTACAATCGTTAATTGATGATTTAAGTTTATTATGAGAAGAGGGAGTAAGTACATATGATATCTCCACTAAACAGAACTTTACACTAAGAGCAGTATTACTTTGGACAATTGGTGACTTTTCTACATCTGATATGCTCTCAGGTTGGAACACTTCAGGCAAGTTAGCTTGTCCATATTGTATGGAACATACAAAATTATTTACATTAAAGTATGATAGGAAGAACACTTGTTTCGATTGTCATCGAATGTTTTTATCTCCAAGTCATCCTTTCAGGAGAAATAATGAAGTCTTTACTAAAAATAAAATGGTGATGTTTCAACCTCCTCCAAGATATAGTAGTGAAGAAATTTTTGAAAGAGTTAGGTTCATGCCCACTATAATGGATTCTCTAATATTAACTAAGTTCAGATTGCCAGGATATGGTGTCAATCATAATTGGACCAAGAAAAGTATTTTTTGGTCATTGCTATATTGGAGAACAAACCTGATTAGACATAATTTGGATGCTATGCATATAGAGAAAAAATGTTTTGATAATAATTTTAATATAGTTATAGACATCAAAGATAAATCGAAAGATAATATAAAAGCAAGGATGGACTTAATGGAGATTTCTATGAGGAAAGCTTTGGAATTGAAGGACAGTGGAGGTGAAAATTTTCTCAAACCAAAAGCTCCATTCACATTAACTTTAGAGCAAAAAATGAGCAATTTGTGAATGGGTGAAGACCCTTTGAGTACTGATGGATATTCTTCCACTCTAAGATCAGGGAGATTATTCGGATTGAAAAGTCATGATTGTCACATCATGCAATGTCTACTTACTGCTTTTAGTTATCTACCAAATCAAATTTTAAAGCCCTTGATCGAGTTAAGTGTATTCTTCAAAGATTTATGCTCTTCTAAATTAAATGTAGAGGACTTGATTCTTATAGAGCAACAAATTCCTTTCATTATGTGTCAACTTGAGAAAATATTTCCTCCAGGATTTTTTGACTCTATGGAGCATCTACCAGTTCATTTACCATATGAGGCTATGGTGTGTGGACCTGTTCAGTATAGGTGGATGTATCCTTTTGAGAGATATTTAAATAAACTTAAGAAGACAACTAAAAATAAAGCACGACCCGAAGGCTCTAGCTGTGAAGCATATTTAACATACGAGATAACTCAATTTTGCTTGTATTATTTTGAAACAATATCTCAATCAAGTGAAAGTACAACACCTCAAAATGTTGGTAAATCCTTTTATATATCTGTATTCGATGGAAGTGGTGAACTTGTAGGTACTAGCACCGTGCGCTATTTGACCGATAAGAAGATGACAGTTATCACATTGTATATCTCGCTTAAATGTGATGAAGTTGAGCCGTATCTCTAGTAAGTATGAGTTAATTTGTTCATATTTTCATTATTCTTATAAACTTTGTTCTAAACTCAAAATGGTTTGTATGAGGTTCATTGATGGTTTAAGTACATCAGAAGAAGGAGAAGTCTAGAAGATAGTGGAGAAAAAATTCATTGCTTGGTTTAAAAATACGATATTTTGAATAATTAGTCTTAATTAGTTAGTTCTGCATGTAATTAATATTAATAATAATAACATCTTGTTCATTTAAAGGTACACACTGAAGATAGTGATTTGCAGTATTCAGGGCTATTTGAGTTAGCTTGAGAACCAAATATATTAGTTAAATGTTACTAAATATTTGTCATCAATGGTTATAAATTCCAAATAAAAAATTTGTGTGAAGGCAGGAAGATAGAAAATTCTGGCGTATGTGTAAGAGGGAACACCCATATAAATGGATGATTATGAATACTACGGGGTATTACAAGAAATATTAGAGGTGGAATATCCCGGTTACAGGAATACTGTGTATCTCTTCAATTGTAAATTGTTTGATCCAGTACAAAATAGAGACGCAAGAGTACATCTAATTTACGGTATAACAGAAGTAAAGCGGGGTAGCAGATATACAAAGTTTGATCCATTCATCATTGCTAGTCTGGAAACTCAAGTCTATTATGCTAACTATCCAAGCATAATACGAGGAAAATAGGATTGACTGGTAGTTATGAAGACAAAACTAAGGGGAGTAATTGAGAAAATCACTTTAATACCATCAGCACATTAAGAAGAGTTTATGACAAATTTAAAAAATCTCCCAATCAATGTGGTTGACTAAATTCAAATTAATAAGAGTGAGTTGCAGTTAGAGAAGGTAGATTTAACCATAGAGGAAAGTAATGATGAATCTGATAGTGCTGGAAATGTATTATCATATGAAAGTAAATCAACAAATGATGAGTTAACATAAGGTAAATTATTATTTTTTTGTTACTTCATTGCATTTATTTTATTGTTACTGCACTGTCTTTTATTTTATTCTTACTACTACGTTATTTTATATTATATTTTTGTTATAACTCATGTTTTTAATATTTCTTATTTATTTCTGTGCATATGGCTTCAGCTGAAGAGCCTAGTAGAGGATTAATCAAAATTATTTTTAGTAGGCGCACCAAGAAGATCACTACAGTTGGACCAGCTAGGTCAGTACGTACTGAGGGGACCACATAGTCTCAGCCTGCTACACAATCTCAGCCTACTACACAGTCTCAGCCTGCTACACAGTCTCAGCCTACCACTTAGCCTTTACCCACTCCTGGAGCTAGTAGCCCGCAGTTCTACTCAGCAGACCCCCGATTTCCTTCACCAGATCCCACGCAGAGTACTCATTTCTACCCATACTATGCACCCCCACCTTATGCTGGTGCCCCTTCTACTTATTCATATCCACCATATGCTCCACCATACTATCCCCCACCACCCCATCAGCCTACTACAGCTGGACCTTCGACACCAGCTGCACCAGAGCAGGCAACAGATGGTCGAATATTGATAGCACCTAAGGGTGACACGTACGTACATTTCCTTTTATTTAAGCTAATGAATATTTTTATTTTATATTATATATTTGTTTCACATAATCTTATTTTTATAGGTTCTACCCATCAAAACAACCGACATATAAAATACGGGACAACATACGGAGCAGGTTTGACGCTCCTTACGTTTCTTAGAAGAATGTCTCGAAAGAAGTCTGGGAAATGTGGTTTAGAGAGTTTGAGGTATTTTTGGGTATTAGTTTTTATGTTATGTATAATTAATTGATTTATTCTTTTTTATTTAAGCTATTAAACCTATATATTATATATTATATGTATTTGAATGCAGAAAGATTTTTGTTGGTTTCCCCAGCACAATGACAAAATTAAAAGGAATTTTGAGAAGCATGGGTCCACTCGGATGCGCGACATGTTCACATACATTAGAAAGTCTGGCAAGCGTCCATTGTGGATTGGAGAGAATATATGGGCTGAGTTGAACACTTCTTGGGGCAGCGCAGAGTATAGTAGGAGGAGGGATCAAAATCAACAGAATAGAGCTTCTGATGTTGGGGGCTTGGGTAGCTCCCTTCATACTGGCGGCTCCATTCCACATATTGAGCATAGGCGATGTTTGGTAATGAATTTTAAATGTTTTTTTTTTAATTTTTTAAATACAAATATTAATATAATTCTCTTAATTCTAACAGAAAGAGATGCTAGGTAGAGAACCTACTCATGTGGAATTGCATAGTCACACTCATAAGCGACAGGAAGATCAACAATGGATTGATGAGAGAGGAAAAAAAAGCCCATGTAAGTATATGTGCTTAATAATTTTTAGTTTTAGTTTAATTATATATATATATATATATATATATTCTACTTTCATAGGAGGAATATATACGGCTTCGAGAGAGTCATGCCGCATCAGGTGAGGGCTATTCTGGCGGCTCTGTTGAGTATTCTGAGTACCGCATCTGGTCGCAAGCCATTGGAGGAATGCAACATGGAAGAGTTTATGGTTTAGGTTTGCAAGCTCAAGCATACGAGGGGATGACCTCCTCTACTGCATCCAGCTTCACATCCAGTTCACATGAATCCTTATATACTCAACAAATAACTGCCCTTCAAGCAGAGCTAGAACAAGTAAGGAAATCACAAGCTGATTAGCAAGTTCAGTTGCAAGCACATGTTCAAATGCAGATCCAGGAGCAACACAATCAGTTGTTGGATGAAATGCGCAAAATGAGGGAGCATTTGAGTGGAAAAGAGGTAGCTCCAGCTGAGGAGGAGTCCACAGATTTAGAGTAGTTTAGTTTAGTCATATGAACTTGTTTATTTCTTTGAATATGTGTTATTAAACAATATGTGATGTTTTAGTTGGTTGATGCTATTGAACATTTTGTTTCAATGGATATTTATATTTTTGAGTATATGTTGAAGTTCTCGACATCTGTGATGTGTATATCTGTGTTGTGGAACTGATATTGTATGTTTGCAGGTGTGGAAATCCGATTGTTGGCTGGGAAGGCAATTTTTTTGTTATTGCTACAGGTTTCCGGCGAATTTGGCATAAAAAATGTGACGAAAATGATGATACAACGAATTGGTGCAATCGTGCCGACATTTTTTTTGCCGGAAATGGCGGCAGCAAATGCGTCAGAAGAAAGTCGTTCCTTTATTTACAACGCACCTTCCGGCGTCTTCTCCACCGGCATTTTTGGGCGTACCCATTGCACCGGAACCAAACCGTAGCTTTAGTTACGGCGAATCTACGGATTTTTATCCGCCGGTATTTGTCGTCGGATTTATACGTCGTAAAAGTCCGGCGTATATCGCGCCGGATTAATCGTTTAGGAAACGACGTTTTGGCTATCATATTTTGCGTCGATAATGCGTCGGAGAGTGCGCCGAAAGGGTTTCTGACTTCTTATAAACGTCGGAAGATATTTTCCGACGCGCACCAAACCGACGCATCAAAATCCGACAGAAATGTGTTGAATCTAGTAATTAGGTTGTTAAGCCTAAGTGAGTGTCCCAAGGCTACCAAGAGGGGGGTGAATTGGTAGTTTAAAAAAATTAAAATTTAAGACCCCTTCGTCCTTTCACACTCTCCTAGTGTGGGCAGAGAACCCTTCGTCCTTTCACACTCTCCTAGTGTGGGCAGAGAACCCTTCGTCCTTT